TTGGACACGTATGTTAATTATTGTAATTTGCTGTTTGCGTAGTGTACTATAATGTACTGAAATGTTTTGTCCCTTTGTCTGTTTCATGGTGTGACGACGAGACCATTTGCACCTGCTGACTGTCCTCCTTCAGCCCGACTCGCGGGCTGCACCCCTGCCTGGGAGCGTCCTCAGTCCTCGTTCTGCTGCCCCAGTCCCGCCCCGCGCCCTGGTCCATGTTCTGTAGCTTAGGTTCTGGATCTATAGCCTGTCCGTCCGTGAGGAGCGGATCCCTTTCTCAATGTGGTCTCCCTCAAGGTTTCTCACTTTTTTCCCACTGGGTTTTAGAGTTTTTCCTTGCCGATGTAGGAGGGTCTGTTAGACAGTTAAGTGTCTAACTAAAGGACTGGTGATGATCCAGGACACTTTAACATTCTACAACATTTATGGACATTTTTGCTCCTTATGGATCAATGGTTCTGTGTTGTTTTGCATTTCATGTGTTTAAGTGTTCCTCTCAGATTTGTGTTTTGAAAGATATACAATGTATTGTGTGCTTTGGATGTGCCTGATCTTTGTTAAATGAATTGATTTCTCAAAATGAAGTCTCCACGCTCTTTCAACATTATCAATATATTTATTTGACAGGGACAATGCAGACACAGTCATAAACAAAGCTTGCAGCTGATGTGATGAATATAGTTTATAGCAGATGCCAATTCACAACTCCTGTCCCTGGTTGGGCCTAACCAATCAAAGTCAATACAATTCCTACATTTCTAAAAATACACTTAGTTTACAGCCTTCAGACTTAAACAGACTTGATTGATCCACAAAAAAAAACTACAAACGTGTTTTCTCTTGTATTTAAAGCTTGACATCAATGCGGGAACTTTACATCCTTTAGCAGGAAAATCTACACAAATTCAATTCAATACCACAGCCCATTTTTTATGCACAACCTAACATAAAGCCCATGAAAAAACATTTGATTGGTTCCAATTGAAATGTTACTCACCAGTGTTGTTCATTTCTTTAATAGAAAGGATGCACCCGATCTTTCATCTGGGAAACTAGTCAAAATTCATCAATCCACGAATGAATTACATTTCAAAGGACAACATGGCCATGGCATGTAATCTCTGTGGTTACTGGTGATAATAATCCTGTGGTTGTTGTCATGGATCAGCTGCAGCAGAGTCTTGACAGTAAAAGTTTCACTATATATCCAAATGGCCATATTTTTTTTTTTTGCAACTTCGAATTCATCCCATGAAAATTATTAACTGAACTGACAGAAAAGTGTGCAGTCCACAAGCTGTGCTGCTGCAGGTGATCGCTGGAGCCATACCTCTCCTCCACTTGAGCACAGTATCACACGCACAGATCCACCATATTGAATACAGTACGATGCATGCATTAAATTAAATTTATTATTTCCATTATCAACATTCATCCAGTTGTAAGCTGTAGAGTTGCCACAGGACGCTTCATCAGCCTACGTCAGCACCCGCGGACTGCTCTCATAACATTAGCATAGTGGTTTCATAGGTGCAGTTGACTGCTTAAACTAAACTTTACCCGAAACTTTGACTCTTAAAACCCACATGTGCCAACACGGAACCATCAACATCTCGCCTCAAATTGCATTAAAAGTGACATTTGTGTCTTATTTTGTTCGTATTATAACTTTTAAAGCAATTCTCGGACTTTCTGTCCGCCATCTTGGTTTGTTTCGGCTGCCGCGCATGCGCAGGTTTGCATTACATCATTAACAGCTGAGCATTACATAAGCGTCACAACTCGGCAGAGCGGCACAACTCGGCAGAACACCGGTCTTACACTGCCTTAACTTTACAGATAACTCATCCATATAAACATTAAAAAGCATAGGTGACAGGATTCCACCCTGTCTCACTCCGTTTGACACATGAAACGGTTCTGACACTGCCGTACCCCATTTAACCTGCATGGTTTGGTGCGAGTACCATTATATATATATATATATATACATATATATATATATATATATTTAATTCCTCTTTCTTTCTTTCATTTTATTGTATTATTATTATTACTATTTGTTTTATAATTAGTATATAATTAGTCTTTTTTGTATTAAAATAATTAATAATTTTTTTTTTTTTTTTTATCTAATGTAATCCTTTCTTTGCATTATAAATGTGAGGTTTCGTTTTTTTTATGACATTTTCTTTGAATTGTAAAGGCAAAAATAAAGAATGATTTTTTTTTGAAGCAAATTAAAATAAAAAAATACAGTCTTTGTTATAATTTTCACGTTGTGGTTTTTGCACATAAATGGCAGGCACTCATTGACATTTATGCATAATAAATCAATTGAATAAGTGTGGGTCAGACCTCACACTCTGGGGAATGTAGCGATATCAAGGAAACGTATGTATGCAGCCGATCTCTGATAGACTGCTTTGGTCTAACTTTCTGCAGCTCCGCCCCCTTCATTTGCATTGCTTTACAGGACACAAGAAAAGAATGTTGTGTCATGAAATAATTAAACAGAAAATAAATAAAAAGAAGAAAATAAATACATGGTTAAATAATAAAATTATATTTATTTTAATCTTAACCTTTGAATGGATGAGGGTAATAAAGCTTTATTATTTTGTTTGAAACCCAAAAACATTGTATAATTATAATAACATATGTATTTATTAAATCTCATGATTTGTTGTGTTATATTGATAATTTTTGGCAGAATGTGACATTTATTTATTCCTTTATTTATTTACGAGTGGGAATATGTTTATTTTTGTCCAAATCTTAAATTTCATGCATGTTTTTTGCATGCTGTGACTTACACCACCTCCTGACTCGGTGTATAGTTTGTGCGTATCATACGCTCACTTCCAGATTGCTAAAAGCCATCCATCCATTATCTTCCGCTTCATCCGTTGCCGGGTCGCGGGGGCAGCAGTCTAAGCAGAGACGCCCAGACTTCCCTATCCACACACACTTCCTCCAGCTCATCCGGGGGGACCCCAAGGCGTTCCCAGGTCAGTTGAGAGACATAGTTCCTCCAGCGTGTCCTGGGTCTTCCCCAGGCGTCCAGGAGGCATCCGGAACAGATGCCCGAGCCACCTCAACTGGTTCCTCTCGACCTGGAGAAGCAGCGGCTCTACTCCGAGCTCTTCACCCTATCTCTAAGGGAGCGCCCAGCCACTTTGCGGAGGAAGCTCATTTCGACTGCTATAATCTCACGAGCTGGGGTAATGACTTCATTTTTTTCTGTATTTGTGCATTCGCTCAACTCTGTCTTGAGGCTGGTACATTTGTGTTTTAGTGGCAGCGGTGCCTGTGGGATCAGCTGTATCACACTCACAAAGCCATTTCTCCGCTCGGCTGCTTCGAGGTTTGGGCCCGGTGCATGTGGAAGTGTCCCATAATCCGGCAGTGTTTAAGGAAGGACTCAGCAGCTGGGAGAATTGTCGAGGCTTCTCCTGACAATGCATGTGAAATGAAGGAGGAAAGTAAATGGTGAACAATAACATAAGTTTGTAATCGTCTGTGTTGTACATACACATTCTTAACAGCTTTCAAACCACAAAACAGTTAGCTACTGTATGTAATAAAATCTTGTTCATGTAGCTGGTAAAATAGCCACTGGCTTTCACATGCATGTATCTCTGGACTCTCATCAACTGTTTCAGACTGAAAAGTGAAAAAAAATGACCTCAGCCCAAACAGTCTTCATTCTCACAGTTTTCAAAGATGATTGCATGTAAACAACTGAATTCAGAATTGTTTAAGAAAGATAATACATTACAAAGATAATACATTACAAAAGATAAGATCACATTTGATCTTCAGGCCCTCAGCCCAAACTTAAAATAGTGACGTACATGGCTGTTTCTCAGTCCTCCAAGATTACTGAACATTGAATTGAAATTAGTGTAATTTTGACTTACTTTACTTACTTACAATATTACTAAATAGCTACATTAATATTAAATTAAGTCTAAGAATCCGCCTCAGACACGAGTACTTACTGTAGCATTGGTGCCATCTTCTGGTGAAACGAGGAAGGTTTAAACATAAAACATAAGAGGCAAAAAGATATCGAAGTTTAAAAAATCCTACGACCAGACTTAGGTTCATTAAGGTTAAGTGAGAGAAGAATGCCCAATGTTTCTCATAAGTCACTCTAAACAAAGTGTCCCCAAGGAATGTCCATTTTAACCCTTGTGCTTCCCTCAGGTCAAAATGGCCCACCACAGATGATAAAAAGTAGAAGAAAAATACCCTAAATTAGGGTCTAAATGACCTAGGGCTGATCAAATTAGGACAAATCATCCAAATTCAAGATGGAAAAATAAAGCTAAAGTAGATATTGCAAAGATCTTTATTTAAATTATTTATCAAAACTATTCAAAGTTTTCAGGTTCAAACATAGACAACAGTGTAAACGCAAAAAGCAGAATGTAGGAAAAGGCCAGTTCAAGTACAGGCAAATATATTTACAATGAATCTTTGAAATCCCCCCAGAACCATGAACTAAACATCTAAAACTCCATCAAGAGCTCGATATTTTCTTTACGTTTTTATCCATTTTCGCCTCGGTGATAAGAGTGTTGCTGTCAAATCGGGTGCAGTTGCCTTTGATAGCAGAGAGCATTTGTTTTATTACCACTCAAAGCCCAGTAGTGTTAAGTATTTTGCCTTTGTCGCCCCCTTTGGAAAAATACTGTCAATACGCCAACGTGTAACATGTAACAACTATTAAAAAGAACAACTAAGAAAAAGAATTTAACAGCAGCTCTTTAGCCTGGTCTTACCACACCATCGTACAAATTTAATTTCAGGAAATGATAATTGATCGGGAATTTACGGATGGCTAACTCAAACCAGATTTGACAGATCTCAGAAGAAAAATCATTTAAAATCATCCATTATAAAGTTGATATTTTAGCATGTTATGTCACCTAGGAAAAATGTATCACAAAAACCTAGGAGAATGCATGTATCACTGGGATCAAGTTCATGGATTAAAAGTTCATATTAGTTAATTTTGTATCCATGGAGTCCCTGAGAATCCTCTCCAGTGTCACAATACAAGGCGTGATGGCATGTGATTGTTGCTGTGCCATTTTGAATCTGAAATAACACAAACAAAATCCATTTCAAAAAGGGTCAAAAGCAGTTTCTCCATTCTGATAGAGTTATGCAACTGATGGGACGTGGGGGGCAACGAGAAAGGCTAACAACCCATTTTATAAGAAAAGTAGTGGCAATCATGTGCACAAGTTTAGCTGTTGAATTTACAATATGGCCTCTTCTACTGTTGAGAAGTGACAAGAGAAATCAGAAATAGATTTCACGAATGATTGATTGAACTAAAATCCTGTTTGGTTTTAACATTTTCGTCTTAAAACAACAACACCAAAACGTAGCCTAGAAGTTGGCCATTCCCAATTAGTTTTTGCAATGGCACAATACAATTTATAATTTCTTTAATTACATAACTACATGATTGTTACACTTTACCCTGGGTTCTGACATTTGTAAACAGATGCATACAAACTCATAGCATCGTATGAGATTTAAGGGATGAGTGAGAAAGGGTGGAAAAAGCCCAGACTTCTGCAAATCGTTTAAAGATTTTCAGACCGGGCAGAAGGCCTCCAAATATTACGCTTTATTACACGGCTCCTCACAGCAGCTGTAGAACGCTCCATTGATTTGAATGTAATTTCAAAACGTTCTACCGGCCATTATTTCTTTATAACCGACCTCTCAAAACAATAATGACCGCTGCCCATGGCAACGCAACCTCTGCTTGTAATTCAGATGTGAGATTACTCTGCAAGTAGTCCGGCCACTTCGTCGCTACTACTGTCTCTGCGAGAGAAGCTATCGGAGCTAGCCACGCTCAATAGACACGTATATCAATCAATCAACACCTTTAAATGTTAATCGTAGAAGACATTATACAAATAATTTCGTAACACACGTGCACAAAGGTTTTCAGAATTATCTGTTAACGTTTTCATGACAAAAATACTGTTTTATTGTGACAAAAAGCAATAGTGGTAAACCCGGGAGTAACTATTAACATGAAATAACATTTTAAGACACATTTGCAGAGGATCGAATTGTGGATTTTGGTTGAGTTTATATAAGAGTCACTCACCGCTGATGTTCTAGTTTTGAAGTTGCTAGCCTAACTGTTACTCGCCTGCCATGGGAAAACCTTCGGGAACCATTTTATTTTCAGTCATTAAATTAACCTTTCGGCATTCATAAAAGTGGACTGAAGTTTATTTTGTGTGTGTTCGGTTGGTACAAAGCCGTTTAATAAGTGGGATAATGTATAGTACGCAGTCCGCTCTGCCCTGTCGGTCCTTATTTTCCGATGACCTGCGTACTATACATTATCCCTTACTTAAATGTATTTTAACACTTGACAAGAGCCTGACACATGACAAGAGCCTTATGACAAGAGCCTTATGACAAGAGCCTTATCTGCGTGAGGGTGGCATTCCCCAGTTGTGATTTTGGAACAAGAACTATTCCAAAGCTAGGATACGCAAAAAATCGTGCCGCTGAAAACTGTTGTTGAGCCAAAAGAGTTTGTGAGAGCAAGACGTAGGACAGTATTGAATAAAGGTAGTTACACCTTTACACTTCACCTCATACCAAAAAAACCTACAGTTTTTTAGCATCCACCAGTGCATTATGGTCGAATTGCATAGGGTTTATTTACTGTTGAGTCCTCAACACAGAATACTGGGAATTAGTGCCACTATTTTAAAAGAGAAGACATATGTCCCAGCTTCTGCCTGCTCAGTGATATGGACCTTTTTTTTATCAATTTGTGAAAAACTAACTCCTACCATTACACACGCACAGAAAGTGACATTCATCAACTCCAAAAGAAAATTGTGGATCCAAGCATTTTGACTGAGTGATTCCATCTATGCTAAATGTGAGTGTAAATTTCTCCAGTGTGAAATCAATAACGTCCATCTTATCTTATTCTTATCATTTGTACCCACCTCCGTAACAGCTCTTGCCCCCTGCTGGCTGTGGGCCTGTAGTGTTGTAAAGCAGCTTGACTCTGGGACGCTAAAACACTGAAGCACTGTTCTCTGAGCGTGTTGTGACTGGAAGTGTCCCACTGAGGGAGCTCGCTGGTGAACCTCCAGGCAATCAACGTGTGCTCCAACACCACGTCACACTCCTTGTTTTGTAATAATACTTGGCCCCATTCTTGACAAGAAACCTGAAGATGGAAAACAATGGACCACCATTGCTCTTGTTAATGACCAAGTTTGCATTATCATAGAAAGTTCAATACATTTACACCTCTAAATACTAATTGCACAAATGGTCAGATGAATAAAACATTTGTATTGCCTTTGTAAGTAATGAGTTGTCACAAACTAGGAAACTTACTCTGAAGGCCAGGAGATGTGGGTAGGCCTTTCTGTAGCAATGTGCATCCCTGTTTGAGCCAAGTCTGGAGTAGGGGATGGACCTGTAAACATTGGCTTTCTTCAGCTGCAAATCGTCTTGGAGAAACTTCAGGTCCGACGCAAGGACTCTCGGCTCTTGGCTCTGTAAGAAAACAAAGAAGAAACGCATCAATTTAACCAACCAATTTTAAAACCCCTTAATATCTATATTAAGTCTGTCTATATTAATGCCTTTTTTATGCCATGTCCCAGTTCTCATGGGAGTGATGGAAACAAAATCTACTTATTCAGTAGCCGATTGCAGGGGTTCCCTAAGTTATTAGCCCGCAACTCCCATGCTTCCGTGACCCTGAACCTCCACCATCTCATCTCAACAACCCTTCTCTTTGCATGTAATGTAAACCATGTATTTCCTTGATTTGGAGTAAGCTGGGTTCAAGTGAACCAGTGAACCAGCTTTTCATAAGCTGCACTTATGAAAAGTACGCGGCTCGAAATGGCTGTTATTTCAAAGAACGTGGACTATTTTAAACTACGCGGTTAACCGGTTTCAACCGGTTAATGAGGCTCGGTGGTCGGTCATGAAAATTCATTGTTTTTTACATCCCTAATCTGTACATTAGCAGCATGAGGCTGCAATAATACCGAAAACCGTGAAAATTTTGGTCACAACACCAGTGAGGTTAATGCCCCATACTGTGACACCCCTACTGCAACAAGTATAGAACCACATTTTAGCATTAAAATAAAAATGTACCTGTTCTACTAAGATGAGAGAGCGGAGGAGTTGCACTAGCTGCCGTTTCGAGATTGGTGTGTGCTCGTCGTCCATTTTGTCACATTGTGCCTGGATTCTCCCACTCCACAAGTCCACTGTGAAAACAATTCAACTATTAAGACAACCAAGACAGATGAAAGAGTTAAAAGATTCAACCATTGCTTATTCAAATGTCATGTCAAATTTTCAGTCAAACTCAAAAACGGAACGGGAAGAGGTTTTTTGTTTTGTTTTACAGCACAATGTCACAGGGAATGGATGTCTTTGTTCAATCCACTGTCTGCAAATGCCTCGTTGCTTTAGTCTTATCTTGATTGAATTAATAAGAACTCAGGCCTTTCCATCAACTATTAGGCTAATTGGTCTGAAGTCATGCGATTTCTGCATATACATTGGTGAAATACTGTACAATACAATGTATTCTTGTATAGCCCTAAATCACAACAGTAGTCATCTCAGAGGACTTAACAAAACCATGGAAATCAACACAGATCAGAGAATCAACAGTTAAGACACAAAAAGAATATAGAACATATTTTATAATTGTCCATACATGTTGTAGAATGTTAAACTGTCCTGGATCATCACCACAGTCCTTTATGTTAGACACCTCGGGGAGACCCACATATTGGGAGAGGGATTCGCTCCACACGGAGTAAACGTAGGGCTGTATTAACAGTTTGAACAGCTTTACTTTTTCAGAATTCAAAAGTAGATTAATTCATGAGTTGATTAGTCAAACAATTACCTTTTTTGTACAGAATTTGTAATCTCCACACACTGTAATCACAATCATTTATTTGGAGAGATAAATAGTAAAGTTTTTTCAAGCTTTACTTGAGTGTAGCCTGCGGGGGACAGCTGTCGTTGGGATTCTGCCTCTTGGTGTTGGAGTTAAACGCGCTCCCAGTATTTCCAGATACGATCTCCTCATGCGACCTAAAGAACACAAAGAAAACACATCATACAGTATTAAGAAGTCATGAATGAATATAGAATTCAGGTACAATAACCCATTTTCAATCCAAACATACATTTTACAGCTAAATAACATCCTGTAGATTATATTATTTAGAATACATCTTAATTTATTGCAGCAGGCCATTCATGTAACTGAAAATAGTTCAAGTTTCATGCACAGTTTAATATTAAGGGATCTTTACTTTGTGCCACAGTGAGGAAACTTCAGTGTTTCATCTATAAGACATGTAGCAATAGAAGTGATACAAGAGAAGGAATGAAGAGCACACAAAACAAGATAAGTGAATACTAAGTAAAGAGCTCTCATATTAAACAATCACATATGTAGCTTAACAATGAGATAAGTAGGTAAGTGTAAATACGTTTTGAGCAGATTTGGAATTTTTGCAAATTTATACCGTTGTGGTTTAACTGCAAATGGCCATTAAAAGGAATCTGAAACTCAGTTTAATTAAGTAAATTATATGAACCTGTCTACTCTACTGCAAACAAACATGTACTTGAATGAATAGATATGTGTAATAAACTACATTGCAGTAATAAGTCGTTAGCACTGTGGGTTCAAATATTCAAAGTCAATTTAAAACTTTTCGCTGCCACATTAGCTTTACACAAGACATTCGAATGAAATCTGGCGCCATATATTCAAATGATTTAAGCAGATTGGCGCGTTTTGTCTTAATATAATAAACTTAAACAGATTCTCCAAATAAACTTACCTTCTATTTTGGGCTGTGGAGCTGGGATCTCGACCAAAGCACGCCGTGTGTGGCACAAAGCAGCCATATTATGCGTTAATATGCGAAGCTAACTTAATGCTAAAAGCTATGTGATGCTAACACAGCTAAAAGTTTAAATCCCAGTCGGCTTTTTAACTATGGGCGCAGAAACTTCACTTAAAACTTTGTACGCACCGCTTTTAAAAATAACATTTACGCGCGAAAATTAGGCCTAAATATAGTTAACGCGAAACGAGGCCGTAGAGCCACGCAGAATCTCAAGAAAAAACCTAAAAACGAGCCAAAATAAACTTTTGTCTGCAGCCTTCCATGCCTTTATCAGGCGCGCGGCAGAGGTAGAGCGTGGGCGGAGTTTGGCGCAATTTTATTATTTCTGATTGGTTCACACAACAATATGCAAATGAAACAGTCACATGGTGCATTCGAAAAGAACACAGCATGCATGCTGCATGCTGTAAATTCAGGTGGGACTGAATTTAAGCCTCTTTGATAACTGCGTGCATGTATTTGTTATGGCAGCATTTATCCAGCAGAGATCAGTGTTGTATTATTGTATTAAAATGGGTGCGTGTTGAATCAATTACACAATTATAAAACTTTTTTTTTCTTTTTTAAATGCACCGGATTTATAAATCGCTTTTTTGGACACTCAAAGATGCTTCACATGTCATTCTTCATTCGCTCAATATACGGTGGTGATAAACTACTTCGGCAGCCACAGCTTCCCTGGGGCACACTGACAGAAGCGAGGCAACCAGTATGTGCAATCGGCCCCTCCAACCACCACCTACAGTACCATTCACACACACACACACCAGACTCATTCTAGGCAATGTGGGTGAAGTGTCTTGCCTAAGGACACAATGGTAGTTTGGCACTTTACAGGGGGCGGCTGTAAAAGTGCCAAACTACCGTTGGTAGTTGTTCCCAGAGGTCTCCAATCACAGTACTAACCAGGCCCTGCCCTGCACAGCTTCAGAGATCTGACGGGATCTGGCTTTTGCATGCAAGTATTGACCAGATGCATCAACGTCGTCCAGTCACGTGATTGTGAATGAGCTTACGGCGGAAGTATTGGAAACTAGCATTGCTGCGAGAGCAAAACGGACTACAACTCTTAAAAACTCTTCCTCTCCTAAATCGAGAAGTGGCTGCTTCAGGCACATGTTCGATTACGTTATAGGACGTAGGACATCAGGTCAGGGCTCACAAAGAGTGATATTTGGAGAAGTTAAGGATCGCCTAACTGGATGTTGACCCGTACCTTCTCCCCCCAGTCAATTTTATCGATTAAATAAAACGTCTATTTTTGCCCAAATTCACCCTACATGATCTTAATCATTATCGTTAACAATGCATCCCCTTACACTGGAGCAGATTTATATGTACATTTTGCTGGTAGCATTAGCAATAGTCCACTTTTCTGTGGCTTTTCTGTCTACAGCCAAACATGATACGTACTGACGGAGAGGAAAATAGTGAAACACGCAATTGACTTAAAAGATAAAAATGTCAATGTTGCAGCGCACATACAGGACAGTAGTAAGAGACACGTTTGACGTGTGTCATTGTCCTCCAAATGAATGGAAATAAAATAAATACAAACTTGTGATTGCTTTACCTTGTAAAAAGTGTTCACTGCATATTAGGGAGTACTTGGATGGGTCCCAGTCCTTTTGGTTGATTGCCGCTGGCCATCGTCGTCTTCTGTCTTCATGACGAGCAGGTATCAGATAAAAAAGCTTATGTCCTTGCCTGTTAGTATAATCAACCGCACTGCAAAATTTCACAGTTTTGGCTGTAATGCGCTGAAACAGGTTTGTTTTGGTCAGGTGTCCGTAGGCTCCAGTTAGACTTCTGCCGTCTGTCATGGAGAGTGGGCGTGGCCGGGACGTCACATGCAAGGGGTCAATATGGCCACAAATAGGTGAAGTACAGTATAGGGTTAAGGGTTAAGCCCAAGAACACAACGACAGCAGACATCGGTGGGAGTCGGTAGAAAAACTCTTGTGGTGGGCTCGAACACACGACCTTTAGGCTGAAAGGCCAATACTCTAATAAATTTAACCTTGCAAAAGTTTCTGTGTCCAAATGATTACATTCAGTGTTATATTGCAAGTACATGAGCTATTATGTGAACGAACTAATGCAAAAAAGTCAATGAATTAAAGTAAGCCTGACTTCAAATTCAGAAAAATACATCCTCCATTTAAGTCCATTCATTAGACAGGAACAAAAAATACATTTTTAACATTTATTTGTTATTTTTACAGCAGATCACAAAAGTTAATTCAAAAGATGAGAAAAAAAGAGTGATGCAAATAATACATGTAATTTGATGAAGACGGCCTGTTGTTGTCTGATTTGTTGTTTATTTATTTATTCAGTTTCTTTACTATTATTAATAAGAGGAATAGTCTCTTGAGATTAACCATTTTGTTTTCGAGGGGGTCCTCAATTCAAATTCACAAAAAACAAGGTAGAGCAAAATAACAAGAAATTAGACAAAGACAAAAAACGAAGAGAGAAAATAATAATAATAAAAAAATAAAAAAATAAATAAATAAACATGACAATAATAAAAATCAAAAATAATAACTCACACTCTCTCACTCTCACAAACATACAGACGTACCAGCTCTCGATATGCTAACATTCCACCCCCAGTATTGAAACATATAGAATGTACAGCACGTACCATCAGCATTAGCAAGTACAACTACCAAAAACATAGCATAAAGTCAGATGGCTAAACACATCGGCAGATGTTCTGAAGATGCATAAAAAGAGCGTTTTTGAATGTTACAAAAGAAGTTAAGGATCAAATAGATACTGGGAGATTATTCCAATCAAAAGGGGCCCTAACACGAAATGCATATTTTCCTTATTCTCTAAAAGTTCTAGGAACAACAAGGAAGATCTGGTCATTCTGACGCAGCCTCTATTGGGAACTAACCTGCACCAAGTACTGCTTCAAGTAGAGTGGATAATTCCGTTTAATATATCTTATTGGAGTGTGAACAAGTACAAGATAAACAATCATACATAAAATGTTTCACACATATTTTGCTGGCTTAAGATTTAAAAACGTCAATAAAAGGCTGCCATTTTTTAAAGAATGTGTTTATATCACCATTCCTTAAATGTTGTATCTTTTCCGGTTTCAAAAAAGACGTTCATCCATTGAGTGTTGGATGGGGCACAGATTTCCACTGTAACAAAATTTGACATCTGACAAAAGGAGATGTAAATGATAAAACCTGTTACTATGCAAGGATGAATAATTGGAGAGGTTTTCTGGAAGACCGAAAATAGACACATGTAGTTTCACACTGCTCCTGTGAAACTACACCGCTAGTGTGCCCAAATCTGACTTGCGCATGAGCAGAAACCCGCCAGAATGGGGAAAAAATTCGATCTAATTAAATATTTCGTTTGAACACACTATTGTTAATCACATTGATTACAGTATGACACATGCAAAAAATGGAATTTATTATTTCCATTATCAACCCGACAGACCAGTCACAGGACGCGTCATGGGCCTCTGTCAGTAAAATGACGTATTGTTAGTATTAGATAGCAATATGGCCTACGTGCAGGACTGTACAAGGACTCTGCTTATTTTGACTATGATGTGACTGTCTCTGTGTGACACGCACGTCTTTCGATGTGTGACGTGACAATGACTATATAAACTGTGTACTGACTTTATTCTGTCTGAGAGAAAGAAATATAGGAAACCACTGGAACTTGAGAGAAACTTAAATAAACTTCCAGAGTTTGGCGCACCACGATCCGTCTCTGTCTGCTTCATCCCTGACAGATTTGGTGGAGAATGCGCGGCTCAGTGTTTGCCATTCTCTGGATTGTTTTGAGGGAGCTTTCTTTGTTTCTTTTCCTCTGCGTGAGAGACCGGCATGCTGTGTCTGGGAACGGAGATTCCAGTAGGCTGGAAGAGCTGTTCCTGGATGCTTCTTGTCGCTTCTGTCACTTCTGTTTTTTAAATTGAATATTCCGACGCGGAAAAGAGGTTGGCAGACCTCTTGGACAGTCCTTGGTTCCTGTTTGACAAGAATAAGGTAAGCAGACACCTTTTTATATGTAAAGTCTGTATAATTGGATACTAGCTAAATTTTGGTCTGTTTTTGGGGTCTGTCAAACTCTCTAAATTGTATTTGAAGAAGTCTCGGGGTTAGAGTCCCTTTGAGAAGAAGTCTCGGGGTTAGAGTCCCTTTGAGAAGAAGTCTCGGGGTTAGAGTCCCTTTGAGAAGAAGTCTCGGTGTTAGAGTCCCTTTGAGAAAAGTCTTGGGGTTAGAGTCCCTTTGAGAAGAAATCTTGGGGTTAGAATCCCTTTGAGAAAAGTCTCGGGGTTAGAGTCCCTTTGAGAAGATGCTTCAGGGTTAGTCCCTTTGAGAAAACGTTTTCGGGGTTAGAGTCCCTTTGAGAAAAAATAAAGTGTAGGATCCTTAGTGAAACCATGGTATAAAAGTAAAAGCAATAAAAAGGGAAAACGTGTTAAGGAGGCCTTTTGTCACAAAAAGTTTTGTAATTAACCAATTCCATCCAATAGATAACGTGACGTCATACACACGTTATCAGTTGTGATTTAATTCTCTGGTATTTATTTATTTATTTATTTGGGTGTTAAAGGAGGTACAATGCATATTAATGAACATTTAACAAATGTAAATATGCCAGATTATAGCCTTAGGCTAACTTCCATCTGCAGACCTCCTGGCAGGTTGATGTTAACAAAGAACATAAAAACAAACAAGATGTAACAATACAAATCATGCAAAAAATACAGTGTACACAAGACTATATACAGGACATGTACAAGGACAGCTGAACACGTACAGACATGTGAGACAGTAAACAACAATTGACAGAAAGACTTGAGACATTGTATTTCACACATCCTATTGCACTGTTCCCTACTGCACCGTTCCCTACTGTACTGTTCTCTATTTATTTATATTTATTTATTTATCTATTATTTATTACATGATTGTTTTTGATCCAATTCTCCGATATTGAATACAT